AGCCATCAGCGAGAGGGAGCAAAAAGGAAAAGAAAATGCTGTTTTGTTAGAGTTTAGATGGTATGAGGTATGGGAAATCAAAGGAAAACTGTCCTGCCAATGTCAGCAGGACAAGGTGAGGAAGGCCACGTTAACGATGAAAAATGCTCAGGGAATTAAGGGCGGGAGGGGGTATCTGAGCTGTAGAAGGCAACATTTGCTTTGATTAACACAGCTCTTCAAGAACTAAAAGGGTGCAGCGAGTTGGCACATGGGAGTCCTCTAATACACATACAGTTTATGTCTGAGCTAAGCAACCCTTGGAAATCCATCCCTTCCCGAAGCGCTTCCCTGTGACAGCATTTTGCTGTGCAAAACAAGCAGTAACTTCAGCGTTATCCCAAGAGAGGGTCCAAGTTAAAACATAGCTAAATCTTACAATGCTTAAAACCAGCCTGCTTCAAACCAAAGAGAATCCAGACAAAAACAGGCCCRAGTTGGTAGGCAGTGACCTGCCTTTTCAACATCAAAGCAAAAGAGATGTATTTAAAGGCATCGGGGATCTGTCTGTGCTCCTGGGCTACTTGATGTTTTAGCTACCAACGCTGCTGAGGGCTTTGAGAACAGCTCCTTGCTCACACGGGCGCCGCTCCGKGCTCAGCACCAGCCTCTTCAGGCACACACAGAAGGAGGAGCGATGCAGAAGCCCTCAAAGGCAAACAAAATATGGTCTCTTTGCCCATCCAGGTGAAGCAGGGCGTTTGCTGCTCACAGAGGAGAAGGAGGGTGGACCCCAGGCACGCGGGACCCCTGGTACGCGGGACCAGGCATACAAGGTGGTAGAGACACTGAGCATCTTAGCTGCCTTGACAAGCACAGAAACAGGGTTTAGAAGTAACGAGTCTGAATTTTTTATTCAAAACTTCTTATAATGTGCAACCAAAATCGGCGTTTTTGCAGAACGCAGAGCTTTTACTCTAATTCTGCTACAGCTGGGTCATTTTTTTTCATTTAATCAGGGTACCTGGGGTAGACAGAGGTGAAGAAACRGAGACGAGAAATAAATTTAAAATGTTACGGCGAACAATAGTAATTTACTATGAAACGTACTTTTTTTTTTTGAAGCTGAGCTATAGAGGCCATTAATTTATAAAGCATAAATGAATTATAAAAATACCAATACGACTAAGTTTAAGGGAAAGATCACAAAATCTGCACCATCATCCCATTATTGAGCGTAAGGGTAAATGCCAGCTGGATTCCAATCCGTCAGGCTATTATGGAAGAGCTACTTCATTTACCACACAGTAGGGCCGCCCCACGTCCATGTTTGTACCCACCTCCTGCCCTATCCATGTTGTTCGGGCTGGATTGCCCTGGTGGGCCTTGGACCTGCCTCATCACCTTTCCAGGCTCGGGACCATCCACTGACTCCAGTTACTGTCACCGCTGCTTGTTRGCGAGGTCAAGGTTGTCTCTGGCCAGCACCGCTCTTTGGTGCTCGTGATCGATGGTAGGTTATGAACCACCTCAAAAGCCTGAGCATCTCTGCTATTGCCTACCCATCTACCACGTAACGAAGCAGTTGCACAGCGGCCGAGTTGGTCCAACCCAACATGGTCTAACTGGACCAGAACAGGCGATTCTGGGTGTGGGTTGCTCGAAACACGGCAACCTTTAAACCCGAGGTGTTTAGCAACGACCACAGGAGCACTGGTGAACCTCGGCCACCAGCAAAATGGAAGACCTGAGCTTGGTGTGACACCTCCTTAATGCCTTTCATGTGCACCCGGCATCAGGCAAGGCCGGTTGGACGACGCCAGGTTGATCCTTCCTGGAAGGGGCCTGAGAAAGACTCACCCACATCCCTTGAACGTGCGTTCCTGCTCCGTACTCCAATTCCCACTCCTCCAGCAGAACCGAATCAAAATACTCCCTCCCTTCCTTGGCTACCAGATGCTTAGAGCTATTTTTAGCTGTACTACTCACTCATCTTGGCATCCACATAAATGCCACCAAGTCCCCCATCAGTGCAAGAGAGCTGCTTACAGGAACAGGCAGCAGAGAAGATAACACAAGGACTTGCTGGCAAGTGACACAACAGGAACACGTATCCATTCTGGTGATGGTGACATACTCCGGGGAGGAGATTTGCTTCCGGATGAACATTGCAAATGTATATCATGGCGCTGCAGGCACAAAGTTTGCCAAGAACTTGGCCAGAATTCCTGTTAAGGGTTGGTGAAGGCAGGACCACTCAGTGACACAAGGGCAGATAAATGCTGAGATGCATCACAGGACTTGTTGGGTCAACCTGTGCCTGCTGCTACTTAATAAACAACAGTTCCAAAACCCAAAAGATCCCAAAATGCTCCTCAAACAGAACATTAGATGGTACTATTAGTTATTGCTGGAGCACAAAGGACAACCGTCTCTTTCCCCTCCCCACAGTAGAAGCAATTTCAAGTCAGCTGAAAATGTATTAAATACACCCATCCTGGCAAAGCTTTGTTGGAACTGTAAAGTAAATAATCAAACAGTAACTACACTAAAATTTGCATTTAGTGTTTCCAAATGATGCCAAGGAATGCTTCAGAAACGTGACTTTAACTTGCCAAGGCAGACTGCAAACCTGAGCAATGAAGCCAATTGTGTATCATGATTTAAAGTAAATAATGTGCTCTGAACAGGCAAACTATCAAAGATGAGCTGATCGCAAATGTCAAGTCATTCTAAGGAGAATTTCCGCCTTAAAAAAAGAAAAAAAAATCAGAAATACCTTTTGAAAAATATTTTGCATTAGAAAGCATAAATATTAGTTACTAAAAAAACCCACAACCACTACAAAATGGTATCAAATTCCTGATTTTTGTCATTGTACACGYCAAGACTAGGAAAGGCTTGCAGTCCTGACCAAACCCCTAACTAGTTCTGCAGTTACTCAGTATTTAGTGCGCAGAACCCAGCAGCTTGCTGCGGGGGACACAGCTCTGAGCCATCGGCCCGGGAGAGCGGCAAGCAGGTACAACTGGAGCCCAACTGTGACAACTGAGCGTGAGCAAAGGCAAATGCAAGAGGACAGCGTTTCCTGAGGAAAAACCAACAAAACGTCGCTCCAATGTGCTTAAATAGTGGCAACTGCAGCTGTCCGTGTGCAGCAATCAAAGCAGAATAGGCAGCTCATTGATTCCCCAGCTCCTTCAGCCTTTGCACCTTTGTCCTCCCTGAAAAAATCCTCCTGCCCATTTAGATGTGTGTTGTGAGAAGAGCATTAAACACCAAGCCCATGTGCAGCTCTTCAATCAAGCCGTTAACAGCCAGCTACAACAGCTCTGCGACAGCCGGGCAGACGGAGGTTTCCGTTTTGGAGGTTTCGCTTTGCCCAACGCACTGGGAGCCTACGTTGTTCCCCAGGGATTTCCATGGCCCAAATCCATTGTGATTCCATCCTGTGAGGCCAACCAGCAGAATCCAGAGCGTGCTGAGCTGCTTGGTAGCTTTAGGGAGTTCATAAATGAAGCTCTGTCTCCAGGATCTGTCCGTTCTCAGGATTCCAGCTCAGGTTGGGATCCTTGCCCTGCTCTGGGAAGGGATATATGGCTCCAAAACCTGCCAAGTAAAAACCTTCCAAGAAACAGGGACTCATTTCACAAGATTCAGCCTCAACTGTCGCTTTACCAATATAGCGAAATTGGATAGACATGATTTAATAATTCTCTGCACAGAAGAAACCCCCTGAGCATCAGAGAAAAAATTAAATTGTGCCGTTAATACCATCATCGCCATTCGTTTATAAAAGGAGGAAAAAAGGAAAAAATGTGTTCCACACTTATGAAATTYATCATGTGGCAGACTCCTTTACACCACTACAATCCAATTTACTGCTAAATGAAACTTCAAGATCTTATTTTTTGAGTGCTCTTTAAAAAAAGCAAGCAAGCAGCTGCTTGAAATTGTTCACACAGTTCCTGAAGTTTGCCTGCCAAGCAGCTTCAAAGCAGAACAGCGTCTATTTATTCCTATCAGGAATCACAGCAGACAACTGTCTAGAATCTACAGTTCTTGTAGYGACAGTGGCAGCACCCCTATATCTAGAAGCATCATCCACTCAGTCACAATTTTTCTGCAAGAAGATGAAAAAAGTAATAAATTGCTACAAAAAGACTTCATTATCTTGCACTGCTAGCTGTCAAGCCACTCTTACGATTCATTTTTTAAAAACGTTGTCATTGCATCGCATTATCTGATATAAATACACTCTGATCCAGTGGCATTGAAACAAAACATTCACACTAATCTTTGAGGGCGTCTTTAATGGTCGCACACCATAGCTGTGTAGGCTGCCGTGAACAAAGCTAGCGTATTCCTAGTGTTGCTAGGAATAAAGTTGTTTTGCAAAAAAAAAAAAAAAAAAAAAAAAAAAAAAAAAAA